ATTTTTAATATTTAAAATTCTTAATTGAGTATTTAAAAATGTGGACCCTTCTTGTATAAGTATGAACTAAGATTTTAATTTGCACATATACAATCTCCTAAACGTAAAAACGAAACATATTGCCATAAATGAAATGTTCCTATAAATGCACATGACATAACTTTAGGACTAATAAAAGCAGCTTTAAATCTGTTCAAAACTATGCTTTGTAGCCTTGAATTAATATTTTATTCGTTTAAGCCACCTTTGATTAAAGTGTTAGCGTGCCGTTTAAATGCCCCCCTTTAGACCCTAGAGGTCTTGTTTCTAGACATGGGTAGCAGGGTCGTTGAAACAGCTAGGTTCGCCTTCGTTTGCTAAATTTTAAAAGAATACTGTTATTAATATTTGTTTTCGTTCGTAATGCTTATTTTGCAGTCCATATTTGCTCACTCAACCTAGTCGCGCCTATTTCTGTTTAACAATTTCAGAGCCAAGCGCAAGGTTCGGGCAGAAATGGATGAAAAATGGGATTGTAGCGTTTGTACCTATTTAAACAGTCGCGAAGCTTTTCGTTGCGAAATATGCCATACAAGAAAAGGAACGTCAACAAGGTTAGATAAAGATTTGTTTGGAATAATTTATCAGGAAGCCACGCCTCGACAACAAGGTTGTTGAACAACAACAGCTTATCGCACAGGTTATATTAAAAGAAAAGGAAGATGAGCTTCTCAAAAGAAAACGCGAGTATAAACAAGAAAGGACTGGCGCGTTTGCATCGTTAAGTCTTCGTTTTATTTAATCGTAAATTAGGCTTCCTCCTAGACTCAAAAATGTTGACCGATCCTCTCCTCTTTTGTTTGAAATATTTGCTAATGGATATAGTGTGGTAATAACAGAATTCCGCCCAAAACCTCTTAAAAAATCTGCGCCTTCTATCACAGATAGTCCCGTGCCTTCAAATTGTTCTTCATCCATCCAGGTATATATGCTGTATCTCGCTGTGGATTTCATTTCCCTTTTTATTATCTAACCTAAATTTATATACACATATCTAACTTTTTGGACCTATGTGTATATATAGTCTCTTGATTCCTTTTTGCCATTTCATAATTGCAGGGCCTCACTAGCACCCCAGTGGGCACTACTTCTGACCAGCTGTCGCCAGTTGATGTATGTGCTTCAAGAAATCCGGATGATGAGGATTATGATGAGAGCTCTACTCAAGGTATCAAGGATGCATCTCTTCGTGTGGAATCAAAACCCTTCTGTTTATCTGAAGGTAGTTACTTGGGTATCGACGATTTTCGAAAAAATGATAGTTCATGTTTTGAACTTCATTCAACTCGAGTTCTACATGCTGATGATACCAAATCTATTCCATTCTCTATTATTTCTTCTTCTTTAGAGGTTAAACCTCAGTCGAAGCAAATAATTGACGTATATTCACTTGACTACAAATTGCAATGCATATCCGATGACCTAACTTCGGCCACTTCTACTCAGGATATTGAAAATAGAATAGAAGATCCTAGATCTCCTCCCTTTGCCAGGGGGAAGAATCCTCGACATAAACGTCGATGGGGCCGTCAAGATTCCTTAAATGAGCTAAGATCAGATTCATCAGTTAGTGATAAAGCACCGGCGAAAAAGCGTCCTAGACAGAGCAACTCCATTATTACTCTGGGAACTAATGCTTACCAAGCAAGCAAAGATAAATCAGAGTTTACAGAATTAAGAGGGGAGCATATTGAGGATCAATCAATAGTTAATCTTCACAAGAATGATTGTACAAAATCCTCGTCTATCGACTGTTCTGTTTCACCTCCAGCTTCAATCTCCTCTGCTTTTTCCCAGGCATCATCCAGGTCCTCTAAAATTGATCAAACCAATAATGTAGCAGGCCTTATCAGTATCGTGAGTCAGAGTGAAAATGAAGAAATTGAAAATACGATGTCTGACGGTGCTGGCGATTATCATCACTTTAAGGTTAGGCGCGAAAGCAGAAGAAAACGGGCATCTTCTGAAGAATCATCCAGTGGACTTTCAGCTGCGACTACGTGTGAAACGATGGCGCGAAAGCCTAGACAGTGTTTCTATAGAAACCGCTCTGGTGCCATGCGGGATTCCAAAAACTTTGAATCTAACAATAAACGACTTAATATTCGCAAGTCCCGCCGGATTAGCCCTGAGACGCACAGGTGCCACTCAAAACTGAACTCATCCCATAGTCTGAAAGATTTAGCTGACATTGAAGATTCTTTTGATCCTGAATCATCTAAGGTAAAAAGATTGCCTTCTCATTCTGAATGTAAGATCCATTTACCTGCGCAGCCGAGCAAAGGGGTTCGAAGGCTACCCAAACAAGACTCTGGGATTAACCATGCAGGCGATAACATTAGGGCAGAAGAACCCGGGCCTGCTGCTAAGCCTACTCGAGAAAAACGAAAAAAACTTTCCGTTTCTTCCACCTCGCTTTCATCTAAATCGACTGATAGGATTACAACTTCTAACATATCTTTTGATAATAAAAGAACAGATTGCTCATTTACTTGGATGACGTCTCTCGATATCGAAAAGGCTGGGTTTGATTCTCCTTGTGATCGTACTACGCTTTCCCCCGCCCGTTTTGGCTTAATAAGTACTCCATTTAGCTCAGAGGGAAATCGTGATCCGGGATCCAAGCAAGAGAAGGTCAACAT